ATTAGAAGAAACCCACAAATCCAAAGGCATTACCATTAACTGAAAAACTTACATAAGCTATTATTTATCTTACATTTTCCCATTCTTTTTCTCCTCTGAACCATTTCTCAGCCTAAAAACACTCCTAATTAAAAAAAAAAAAAAAAAAAGCGGGAGATAGATTTCTGTCCCCCTTGACACATAGAGGGAAAGGAGAGGGGAGTTTACAAATTTACCTTTACACAGTTTCCATTTAAACATATCTTGTAAACAATTTCCTGAGAACAGGACCAGTAGGTAAAAAATGTGTGATCACTGCTCAAGAGAGAAAGTAGGGCTGAGTTATGCAATTGAGACACATCAATAAAAATATAAGTTGAAGCTATGGGACTGGATCACTCAGATCACTAGGGGAAGGAAGGTGGGAGGGTTTACAGAAAGAATGAACGATCCCTTTCAAGCAACAATGTCTTCCTTCTGGAGTTTGGAGTGACTTCTTAGATTTTCTCACCTGGAGAGGGGTTTGGGAATGGATCTTTTCATTTGAGCCACAATTTCATATCATTTCAAATGCACAAAAATGCTTTACTGTACAGTACAGCATAACTGTTTTCGGCCTAGAGTTTCTTTACATAAAAGAGTCTGTGGGACACACTGCTGCAATGAACAACTTCAAAGAAAATCACTATGCTGCTCTGACCAATGTATCTCGATTGGCTGGAGCATCCTCCTGTGCCTGCCTTTCTCTCCCCCTCCCAAAAGCAATGAAAACATGTCCTTTGGTGTGGATTTTAAAGAAAAAAAATTTAAAAAAGAACATCATTGTGCTTCTTTAGATAACTTATTTCTCATTTATTAACCCCGTGTGGCCAAAGAACAATTTTACATGACTTAAAAAAGCAAAGACTTATTTTCAGATTAATTTCTAAAATGCTTCCTGCCAGAGAGCACAAGTGAAACTATACCAGTAGAATGTAACAGTTAATATGTTAAATATACTTTGTTCCAAAATCATCAAAACACAAATTAAATTTAGTACCGAACACTAATGCTTAGTATTTACAATTTTTATTACAAACAAAAATAACTTTGTCCTTTTTCAAAATAAGCTGTCAACAAATTAAAAACAAAGAGATATATGCCCTGGCTGGTGTGGCTCAGTGTACTGAGGGCCGGCCTGTGAACCAAAGGGTCCCCAGTTCGATTCCCAGTCAGGGCATGTGCCTGTGTTGCAGGTCAGGTCTCCAGTAGGGCGTGCACCAGAGGCAACCACATACTGATGTTTCCGTCCCTTTCTTTCTCCCTCCCTTCCCCTCTGTTTAAAAATAAATAAATGAAATCTTAAAAAAAAGAGAGAGAGAGAGAGAGATGAACCCGGACAAGGATCTTTCATCAAATGCTTAAGGGAGCATATTGTCACAAGAACATCAACTTTCAGTTCCGACAAACTCAGGATTAAGTATCATCTTCATCACTTTCTTCTTAGGTGTCTTTGGGCAAATTACTTAAAAGCTTTTGAATCCTTAATTATCTCTGAAATGGTAAAAATAAAACAGACCTCCAACTTAACAAGAAATTAACGAACATATTGCCTAACTGAGCCAGACACATACAAAGTATGTTACTACAGTCTTGAGCGAGCAGGAGCTATTAGGAAGCAGGAGCCGAGCAATGCCTAAATCAAAGGAACCTGTTTCTTCAGACTCTTCTGGCACTAATTCTGACAGTGAAATTGACGAAAAGTTAAAGGGGAAAAAGCAAGTTACTCCAGAAAAACCTGTGAAGAAGCAAAAGACTGGTGAAACTTCAAAAGCCCTGTCATCTTCTAAGCAGAGCAGCAGAGATAACATGTTTCTGATGGGGAAAATGGGACATTAAAGGGAAACTCCTAAATGATATTAGAGAATACTGGATGAATTCAGAAGGTGAGATGAAACCAGGAAGAAAAGGTATTCCTTTAAATCCTGAGCAACGGAGCCAGCTGAAGGAACAGATTTCTGACATTGATGATGCAGTAAAAAACACTGTAAAATCAGAGCCATCTAAAACTTGTACTGTTCTAGTTGTTTAATCTGTCTTTTTACATTGGCTTTTATTTTCTAAAGGTTGTTTTCCAAGCTATTGTATAAGATTTGGACTGCAGAACAATGTGTAAGAATACTTTTTTTAAAGTACATTATTAAAAATGTTCTGAATAAAACTCACTGTCAACTTTATTAAGGACAACTGCTTTCTGCCCACCACCCAGTGTAAAATAAAATCAAGTAATGCAATTTTAACTATTGTGGCTTTCTTTGATCAGAAAAATTGGTACAATTTAAGGTCAAAGTTTATAGACCTTTTAATTTCAACTTCGCTTTTACATTCAAAAGGATTTGTATGCACGGAATTTACAAGCTTTTGATTTGTGAAATCCATAGGTTGATGTGTTTTCTTTTAAACAAATGTCCAGTTATACTTCACTTTCCTCTTTTCATCTTTACTTCATTTGCCTTTAATAACTGACCATGCTCTGTTTTCATTTTACTTTTTGCTCTTTTTCTTGAATATATTATGTTACAACACTAATTCTACTGTATTAAATATTAAGAGATATAGTTTGATAAACAACATGGTTTGTATGAAAACTCTGGGCAAGTATGTCACTACCCGTTGTTTTGTGTAGTAGTTATCTTATTACTTAGTCTGCAAAAAATAACAACGTACATGTCTGACTTTTCACTCATTAAACATGTTAACCATAGGATGATGTCTATAAAATCAGATATTGTTAAATTATACCAGGGTTTAATAAAAATTGTGAAAGCTTAAAAAAAAAAAAAGTATGATACTAGGTAAGTCTCAACAGCTCCCCTTCCTTAGATCTGCAATCAATAATCAAAGTTCCAAGAGTTTAAAAGTATTAAAAGCGTATTTTTGAAAATTACAGACATGGTGGCAGAAAGAGTAACATGATATAAATATCAGTTTAAAAATGTCACCTTTAAATTCTATTTCTGATTCCATGCTAAACACCCTCTTCCCAAAAGACTAAAAGAACATTTAGGTAACTAAAGTGACAGGAGTGTTAGAATTTCATTTAACCAATTCAAGTTACTTGAATTTAATTCAACAGTTTGGTCAGTATTTTTCTTAAATTACTAAATACAGTAATGAAATCTACATGTAAAAAAAAAAACTTGAAATAAAAACAAAAACACCAAAATCCTTCAAATTAAAATTCTCATTCTTTTAAGATATTGTGTTGGGCAAGCTCAAAGGCATACCTTACTTCCTTTATACAAGTGCCCCATTATTAGGAGTCTTGTCATCTAATTTTGAAAAAATCTTTGCTACTTTAGGCCTTTACAACATATGGCAGGTCTGTATTAACTATCCCACTGAGTGCTCTGCTCAGCTAGATTTCTAGCCGTGTGTGCTACTTAGTAATCACCACTTAAGAAACTTTTCAGCAGTACTTAATTTTAAACGTGTGTATACCAGCATACATTTTCAGTTACCAACTTATAGTTATTTACCAATTATTACACATGTGAAAACTGTACAGCAACTTTTTGTATAATGGGATCTATCTGCCTACCAGGTTCTGGGTTATAGAGAATCCTGTTGCTGTCTCTATTTTGTTGATTATCACTTTCAACAAAAAGCACAGAGAAAAAGATTTTCAAAACGGAAGATGAGGCCATTTGCACACTGACATGAGGAAGTAACTGGAACATTACATTTGGGGGCAAGAACATTTGGAGCGGGCACGGCCGGGTGGCTATGTTGGTTGGACCTCTTTTCCCCTGCACCAAAAGGTTGTGGTTGATCCCTAAGGGCACCCGGAAGGCAACCGATGGATGTTTCTCTCTTCCTCTCCCTTCTTCTCGCTCTAAAATCAATAAACATATCCTCCGGTGAGGATTAAAAATAAACAAACAGTTGGGGCGGAGAGCTGCAACGGAAAGTACCCTTAGGCTTACAATAGGCCTTCTTAAAACACCATGATGAGTTTGTGTTTCCAGTTCCTACATGGCTGTATGCTTTGGAACTCAAAAAAGTGAGACTTAATTTAAGAATGGAAACTTTGAAACCTGCAACCATCTTATTTCCAGGAAACAACTCGAAATTAGTAGGGTTCCCCAGACACTGGGGAATGAGGCCTCACAGTAGCCAAAGGAAACGGCGAGTAAGAGGGAACCAGTTCAATGATTAGATTCCGTATTTTAAATGCCTGAGAACTTAAGTTGTTGATCTGGTTCTAATGTTGTCATAGTATTTAAGATACAGTAAAAGGAGTTGCACAATCTCCCCTCTTCGGAAAAATTCCTGGCAGGACGATGGGGCGCCACCAAATCAGGCCCCAGGAGGGCTGCTGCCTACCTCGTCAGGAGACTACTTCTAGGAAGGGTTTTTTTTTTTTTTTTGTGAGCAAATCCAGCTAATTACGGGACCTACAAACCTTAGAGCTAAATACAAAAAAAGAAAAAGGAAAAAAAAAAAGCCTCGAGTACCAGGAAAGAAAGTATTTTGTTTCTGGAAGGAGGAATTAGGAAGGAGAAGTGAAGGTCTGCTTCCTAAGCGGGTTTTCCCCTTAACCCTCGCTCCGGCTACACTCGGACCAGGCCGACCGGCTGGGCTGCCCCAGGGCCTCTCGCAGGCCGGGACATAGACTACACCGCAGTCCTCACTAGGCGCGGGTCCTCGGCCCAGGCGGAGGGGCAGGGTCCCCTGCGCTGCCGCTGCCGCCGCCGCCGCCGCCGCCCTCCGCGCCCACGCCTGCCGCGCCGCTCCCGCTTCCTATTTTCAGAGCACACGCCCTACAAGGAGCGGAGTGAACAGGCCAGGCAAAGATCAGCCCCCGCGCGGGGCCTCGGTTGACTGACAGGGACAGGCACTTGGGCACAGAGAAGAGAGGAGGAAGAAGGGCAGCCGAGGGCACAGACCAAAGCCCTTTCCCGGCGACCAGACTCCGGGCCGACACGCCGGGCTACACTGGCTCCCAGCCCGACGGGCTCCGCCACCCCCGCGGCTCTTACCTTCTCCTCATCAGACAACTGCTCCTCCAGATCCGCCATTTTCCTTCTGGCGACAAACCACGGCGGTAACGGCGGCGGCAGCGGCCACCTGACTTCCCCGTCTCCGTGCGGTCCTCGGCGCCGCGCGCCCCCGCCAAAGGAGGGGCCAGCAGCCCAGGCCGCCGCGCACGCGCCCCGGAGCCCCGCCCACGGGGCTGAGCGACGCTCTGCGCGTGCGCGGGGCCGGGGAGGAGGTGTTGCCAGCAGCCTCCTGCTGCAGGCTTGTCATCGTCTTGAGCATGGGAGTCTTTCCCCACCACTGACCATATGGACCCAGCCTGCGACAAGTACATTCTGCGCCCTTGATTATGTTCTCATTAAGCCCTGAACTCTGCCAGTGAAAAACTGTACGAACAGTAGCTTTTAAAACATTCTATTTTTGAAAAAATTACTAGAAAAATACCCAGGTTTCGTTAGAACATACACACAACCTAGTCCGTAATTGGAAGATTGCTCTAGACACATTCGTTTACTCATGAGAGAATACTTACTGGTCCTTCATCGTGTGCCAGATAATGTGTTAGTCCCTGGGAATATACAATGTTAAGCAAAAACCAGAGAAACCTGTTTTCAAACATAGATTAAGCAGCTGGGGAAGGCACTGTGCTATTGCAGGGGAATACAAAGTTACATTATACGTGGATCCTATTCTTCTAACTAAATACAGAAAGCCCAGTAAAAGTTGAATTTCAGATAAATAATGAATACATATCTTAAGTATAATTATGTCCCATGAAGCATTTGAGATACATTTAAACTACAAAATTATCCACTGTTTCAAATTCTATTGGACATCCACTATTTTTTATTTGCTAAATCCGGCAACCCTACTTCTGAAGCTTCAAGCTTAGCAAGAGAACTATGATGTAGTCAAAGCTGTATATATGACTTGGTTAGGAATTTTGCTGACTCAGTAGGTTTAGGATGGGGCTGGAGAATCTGCATTTCTAGAAAAGTCCCGCAACACCTTAGAAGTTACATAGGAGTTAAGAATAAATCATTATGTTCTACATTAAAACTAATACAATGTTATATGTCAATGAAGATATGCATTAAAAAAGACTTTATTTAGTAGAAAATTGACATTTGAAGAGTGACATGATGTCAGAGATTTGTCCTCAAAATCTGACAGCTGCATGTAAATGACACATGTGAGAATGTAAAGAGGGAATCCCCCTGGGGAAATGGGAAGCGCTGCAGCCCGCATATGTGTGCATCGCCCCAGCAACAAAGATGAGGCACACATTACAGTAAAAAAGAGGTACACAAGGTTAGTGCCAAAAACCAGGAAGATGATTGGATAGGAGGAACATACCCAACCAACTACTTCTGCATGTGGAGATTATGGGAAGGGTCTTTAAAAGGCAGAGCACAGACGAACACAATGTTTTTTTTTCACTCCCTTATCCCCTGGCTGGTGGGTCCATGGCTGGGGGCTGAGTTTCCTGAGTCAGGGACCTAGCCAGAGTGATTCCTGGTGCCCCCTGCCATTGCACTCTGGGACCTGCCCATCCCAGAGCACAACATATTTAATATAGGAGGGTGGGGCGAGGGGAGGCTTAGGCCAGTGGGCCCAAGGGAGCTCTGGCCAACAAGGCCTCCTCCCCCTGCTTCCCTAGCGGGAAGCTGTGGTAGCTGTATATCAGCCATGTCCCACGCCAGTGTGGGCCAGTCGGCCAGCACTGTACTATTATGCAATATGAAGGGTCAGCCTGCATGCTCCTCCCTTAGTGCTTCAGGCCTGCCCACGAGGACTGTGGATGTTGGGAACAAGGCCGGTAAGAAGGGAGTGGCAGGGTGGGGAGAGGAGATTTGGGCTGGCAGTTCCCGGGAGGCCATTTGTGGGATGTGGCACTGCCAAGGGCTTGGCTATGTGACAGGCCCTGGGCCTCTTCTCTACTTGTAAAACCATGGGAAACCACTGTAGCCGCCACCCACCAGCAGCCTGCTCACTCCTCTACTGGTAGGGGCAGGGGAGGCATCAAGAAATCTACTATGTATGAGTAAATAAAAATTCCATTTTCCTTTCCACCATACTGTATCTCCAGAGTTATTGCCTATGGGCAGCAGCCGGTAGAACCCCACTAGTCCAGTTACAGTAGTGTCGCCCAATATGGGGCCCTAGCCGCTTGTGGCAGGTTGACCTCCCTAAGAAGCAGGCCTGTGGGACTTCCCAGTTACTGATAATTTCTCTGCACACATGCTGGGGCGTCAGCCCCTTAAACACACGTGGCACGTGAAAAGGAAATGGGTCTGGGAAGGGAACAATCTCTGGGAAGGAGGAAGGATCACCTGAGTTTTAGGACTGTGAACTGGGGTCCAGGTGAGAGCTGGCTATTTTGGGAGAGGCCATTGCTTGGGTTCACTGATTGTAAGATTGATATAAAGCTTGCTTGTGAGTATTTTTTGATAATGGAGTTGTGGGTTCAGGTTTTGCTTATATGTTCCCAGCTTGCCTGAATTCTTTCAGTCATAACTTTAGGCTTGTGTATGTGGGCTAATAGGGGCAGTTCTGTGTTGGTTCCTGGAGGGAGCCCACTGGGTAGAATTTTAGCAGACTGGGGTATGTACAGCTATTATCCAATGCGCAAGGAAGTATTGGTTTATTTCTGTAATGTTGTGTGGCCTATGTACGTTTGGGATGGTGGGGAAAGGTGGCCCATGAGAGTTTCCCTAGATTACTGTACTATTATGCAACTGGAACAGTATTGCCAACAGTTGCATAAATAGGATGAAATACGTTATGTCAAGGCATTTCTGTCATTGCATAATATGATTTCACCAGAGACAGAGGTCCACTTAACAGTGCAGAGAAGGCAGGAGCCTTGAAACCTCTGCATCGTAGTACACGAAGAAAAGAAGAACTTGGAAATAGGCCTCATTGATGCCCTGATTTCAAGGGACACAATGTTCATAGCAGGAGGACCCTCTCCATTGCCGTCCCTAGCCCTGAAATAGAGCCTGAAGAGCCAGCCGCTCCACCCCTGTATGATGAAGGATGAGTCTCCCCATTGAAGACCCATTAAGACACCCAATTTGGCCAGGGAACATCACTATCTGGAACAAGGCAGTTTCCTTTGAGGCAATATCCCACAGGCAGAGTAAACAAGAAAGGCCAGCCTGCCAGCTGCTATTGGGCCCATACTACGTTCTCCACTTCAGACTCACTGAATTGGAGGAATTCCAACCCCTTATATAGGGAGGATCCTCAGAAAATAGCAGATCACATTGTGTCCATTTTTGCCACTCATTAGCCATCATGCGCAGATGTACAGGCTCTCTCCTTAATATCTTGTTAACAGCACGTGAGAGACGGCTGATTACAAATAGGGCTGATGAAGAGGTCCAACGTCTCCACCAAGAGAATCGCATTGGGACCCCCAACCCAACTGGGGCAATTCCCTGGACAGCCTGACTGGAACCCAAATGGTGGGGACCTAGCCTTCCTGGAACATTGCAGAAAGTACATACTAGAAGGGCTTAAGAAAGGGGTGCCCAAGCAAAAGAGCCTGAATAAGATACAGGCCCTTCAGCAAAAGCCAGATGAGGACAATTCTGAAAAATTTTAAAGTATATTTTATTGGTTATGCTATTACAGTTGTCCCATTTTTTCCCTCCTCTTTATTCCCTTCTACCCTGCACCACCCCTCCCACCAGCGTTCCCCCACTTAGTTCATGTCCATGGGTCATACATATAAATACTTTGGTTTCTCCATTTCCTATACTATTCTTATCCTCCCCCTCTCTATTTTGTACCTACCGTTTTTGCTTATTACCTGTACCTTTTCTCCCATTCTCTCCCCTCCTCATCCCTGCTGATAACTCTCCATGCAATCTCCAACCCTGTGATTCTGTTCCTATTCTAATTGTTTGTTTTTGTTTTTGTTGTTAGGTTCAGTTGTTGATAGTTGTGAGTTTGTTGTCATTTTACTATCCAGTTTCGATCTTGTTCTTTTTCTTAGATAAGTCTCTTTAACATTTCATATAATAAGGGCTTGGTGATGATGAACTCCTTTAACTTGACCTTACCTGGAAAGCACTTTATCTGCCCTTCCATTCTAAATGACAGCTTTGCTGGATACAATAATCTTGGATGTAAGTCCTTGCCTTTCATGACTTTCAGTACTTCTTTCCAGCCCATTCTTGCCTGCAAGGCTTCTTTTGAGAAATCAGCTGATAGTCTTATGGGAACTCCTTTGTAGGTAACTCTTTTCTCTTGCGGCTTTTAAGATTCTCTCCTTATCTTTAATCTTGGGTAATGTAATTATGATGTGCTTTGATGTGTGCTTCCTTGGGTCCCATTTCTTTGGGACTCTGAGCTTCCTGGATTTCCTGGGATTCTATTTTCTCTGCCAGATTGGGGAAATTCTTCATTATTTTTTCAAATAAGTTTTCAATTTCTTGCTCCTTCTCTTCTCCTTCTGGCACCCCTATGATTTGGATGTTGGAACCTTTAGAAGTTGTCCTGGAGGTCCCTAAGCCTCTCCTCATTTTTTTTTTTTTTTGAATTCTTGTATCCTCCTTCTGTTCTGGTTAAATGTTTATCTCTTCCTTCAGCTCCAAATCATTGATTTGAGTTCCAGTTTCCTTCCCTTCACTGTTGGTTCCCTGTATATTTTTCTTTACTTCACCTTGCATAGCCTTCACTTTTTCCTCTTTACTCAATCATTTCCGTGAGCATCTGGACTACCAGTGTTTTGAACTCTGCATCTGATATGTTGGCTGTTTCTTTGTCGCTCAGTTGTTTCTCTGGAGTTTTGATCTATTCTTTCATTTGGGCCATATTTCTTTGTCTTGGAGCTCCTGTTACATTGTAAGGGGCAGAGCCTTAGATATTTACTAGAGCAGGGCAACCCAACTCATCATGCTGTCTGTGGGGGAGGGGTCAGAGAGGGAACACTGTCATTTGCTCAGCTTTTCAGTGGCTTTCAGTCACTTTGCCCGCTAACCACTACTAAATTGGGCCTTCTGGTGCTGGTTCCCAGGTGGTTGGGTTTGTGTACATTATAGAACCCTGTGGGTCTCTCCAAGGAACTCTCCTGTGTGACTGGGAGATTTTCCCGCTGCAATACCCACACAGACATTTACAGTCAGAGGTTTCGAGGCTTGCTTTTTCTG